GCCGCGCTGAGTCTGCCAACATGCGCACGAGGCCAAGCCAGAGCCCCGTACTGACCTTGTGCCGTCTCGTACAGCTCCAATACTTGGCCAAGGTCGCACCAAGTACCAGTTATACAGTCTGAAATTTAGGGGTCTAACATAGCCCTGGCCTCCGGCAGACTACTTCCTCAGTTCAACGGCCAAATTTTTGGCCGTTGCACTGGATGAAGTTTAGTTTTTTTTTTTTTTTTTTTTTTTATTATTATTATTATTTTTAAATTAATAAACTCTATAAATACCCTTACTCAATTCATTTTTATCACACCAAAATTCTCAATCCTACACTCTCTTACTTCTACTCACAACAATTCTCCATATATTCTCTTAATCTTTACAAATTTTATTACTCTTATTATTTATTTTCATTCTTTAATTTCTTCCAACCTCTCAAATTTCAATACTTCAAATTTTCAATTTCAATTTATATATTTTTAATTTCTTATAATATCCTATATTTTTAATTCTTATAATCTTATATTAGTCCTACATTTTTGTGTGTTCAAAATAAAATATTAGTCTTATATTTTTTTGTTAAAAAAAATATTTGTCCTATATTTTTAATTCTTATACTCCTAATATCATATGGCTTATAGTGGCAATCCCGGTAAGAGGCCAATTGATTTTTCTAATGTAGGAGGAGATTCACAACAAATTGATCAACATCAATTTGTTTCTACTCAAGGTGACGGCAATCTTCCTCCTATTCCTCCAACGGAAGGGGGGAAGAAACAAACATCATGGGTTTGGCAACACTATGAAAAAACACTCATTGAAGGATCCTCCAATCGATATACAGTAAGTTGTAAAATATGTGCAAATATGAAGAGGAGTCAAAAACCATTTTCTTGGCAATCCGGATCAAGTGGCACCGGAACTCTTAGTAGGCACTTGACTTCTTGCCACAATTTGAGAAATGATGAAGGACAACTCGAGAGAGGACAAACACAAATTTCCGGGTATGCTACCCCGGCGGAGGTATTTTTACTTATTCACGAGAAACAATGATTGATGAATTTGGTAGATTTATAATTAGTGATGAATTACCTTTTAGTCAATCCGAAAGTCCTCATTTTGAAAGATTTGTTAAAAAAACTTTACAACCACAATATAAAAAAGTACCAAGAAATACTTTAAAACATGCTATCTATAAAAGTTTTCATATGTCAAAAGTTATGTTAATTAATTATTTTGCAAATTTTAATGGTCGTGTTGCATTAACTAGTGATACTTGGACAACTCCTCAAGTGAACCATATATTTGTGTTACTTGTCATTGGATAGATAATAATTGGATACTCCAAAAAAGAATTATCGGTTTTGAATTAATGGAAGAATCTCATACTGCTTTTAATTTAAAAGAACGAATAATAAATGTTTTGGATGAGTTTGAATTAAGAAATAAAGTTTTTTCAATTTTTTTAGATAATGCTTCTTCTAATACTAGATCTATAGATTATTTACTTCAAAGCTTATCTTTACCTGTTAGTGGTAAATTATTGCATATTAGATGTTGTGCTCATGTTTTAAATTTATGTGTTCAAGAAGGACTAAATAGCTTGAGTGGTTTAGTTGAACCGATTAGAAAATGTGTTAAATGGCTTAGATACAATAGAAACAAAAAAAAATGAATTTAAAGTATTGTGTGAACAACATGGTCTAGATAAAATACATTTTAGTTTGGATACACCTACTAGATGGAATTCTACATATAAATTGTTATGTGAAACTGCTCCATATCATGAGGTAATAACTATTTTGTATAATAGTAATCAAAGTAGTGATGCTTGCGTAATTACAGCTCAACATTGGGAAGTAGCTAGTAATGTTTGTGCAATTCTTCAATCATTTGATAGTGCTACAAAATCATTTTCTTTAGTTTATGAGCCTAACGTTCATTTAGTTGTAACTGAATGCATTACAATTGTTAGTACTCTTACTTCTTTTATTGTAGATCCTATTTTGTCTGATTTAGTTAAAAATATGATAAATAAATTTGTATCATATTTTAGTGATATTCCTTATATCTATGGTTTAGCTGCTATTCTTGATCCAAATGTGGGTTTAAATGGATTAAATAGTTTATTAGATTTTTATTATAACTCTTTGAATTTTCCAAACTATGTTGAACGTGTTCAAACGTATATTAATGATTGTTCGTATTTGTTAAAAACTTTATATGAAGAATATTATTCGATTTATGCACCACAATCTGTTGATCCCGTTGTTGTCCGTAAGAGTAAGTGGCATAATCCTATTGTTTCAACAATATTAAAAAAATCAAAGGGTAGTGGTAGTGGTAGTGGTAATTCTTCTGAAATAGATACATATTTGTCTTGTAATTTTGAAATAAATGATGATTTTCATATACTAACATTTTGGAAAGGAAACGAAACAAAATTTCCTATTTTGTCAAAAATTGCAAAGGATATTTTTGCATGTCCTGCTTCAACAGTTGCATCCGAGTCTGCTTTTAGTGCCGGCAAGAGAGTATTAGACGATAAAAGATCAAGTTTGGCACCGGATTCCATCAAAATTTGTGTCATGAAGAAGGATTGGGACGCTGCCGAAGAACGCACTCAAGATCAACTTGCACTAATGGAAGAAGATGAAATAGATGAATGGTTGGCCATGAATACATCATGTGAAGCCACGCCTAATGCTAGTTCTCGTGCAACCTCCGCCGGTACTTCCGATCAAGAATGAAAATGAGCTAATCAAATGAGGTACGTACCAAGAATTACGAGGGCTTTGATTCCTCTAAATTATTGAGGATACGTAGGCATCTTAATTTTTTACAATATTAAGAGCAAGCCCAATTATTTTTCTAAATGATTATAAAAATAAAGAACTACGTGGGTTTTGATTCCTCTAAATTATTGAGGATACGTAGGCATCTTAATGTTTCTCAATATTAAGAGCAAACCCAATTTAGAAGTCTTTTATTAATTTTTGATATTAAGTGAGTAAAAAATCAAATGAAATTTATAAACTATAATACATTTTATAATACTTATAAGTTATCAAATAATATTAAGTCTTATATAAATAAAATTTAGTGAGTAAAAAATCAAATGAAATTTATAAACTATAATACTTATAAGTTATCAAATAATATTAAGTCTTATATAAATTGGATACTAGTACAAGACTACAAGTTTAAATGATATTAAAGTCATTTATAAAATTTAATTTAGTAGAAAATTGTGTTAATTTTTAATTTTGAGATTAATAAACTTAATTGGAAAGAACTTAAATTAAGAGTAAACTTAATTTAAAAGTCTTTTATAAATTTTAATTTATCAATAAAATTTAGTGAGTAAATAATATTTATAAGTTATCAAATAATATTAAGTCTTAAATAAATTGGATACTAGATTTATAGTACAAGACTACAAGTTTAAATGATATTAAAGTATTAACAATTATTAATGTAACAAGAGGTTGAATTAGCTTAATTGGAAAGAACTTAATTTGACAACACAAAAGTTGAGGGTTCAAATCTCATTTCAAACAAAAATATTTCAACTTATAAAAATTATATATTTAAAAAAAATATATAAAAAATTCCGGGCCTAGCTCGGGATCGGCCCACAAGAGGCCCGGGACTGACCCGGACTAGGCCCGGCATAGGACCGGCCCTGAACATTGTGGGCCGGTCCCGAGCAATGTTAACCGAGGCCCGGCCCGGGCCTGGGTTTTGGCCACCTCTAATATAAGGGGGCAAATCTTGTTTCCAAACCAATGTGGGACAAAGTCTACTATTTTCCCTTCATTTCCCAACTCAAATGAGTCTACTTTGAGAATCAATATCTCATTCACCCATTATCCATTTTGAGCGTACAATATATCAATCTCTTCGTCTTACTACGAAGAATCTGAATCCACTTTGACCCGACCCAAATCGAAAGTGGACCCCACTGATAATTGTACCACAAAATAGTCACTTAATATGCCATTTTAAGCTAATTTTTCAACACCAAGTAAGTAGACGAGCATATAATATCAAATTGAAGAGCACATAATTAAGTTCACTTAATATAGATGCAACACATTGAGAATATTGATTTTTTGTTATTTGAAACCTTTGTGATTTTTTATAAAGTATTACGTAATATTTGTTTTATAATTTTTCAATCTTTTTGAATTCAACAAATCAATGTCTCTCCAACCAGTGTTCAATTTTGTAATAATTATAATTTAAAATGGTAATAAAAGTTTTATCGCATGACATAACATAATAGTTGGCAGAAGAATTTAATATATGGAGTACATAACCAAACTGATATGAGTAACCCGGGCGGAAGCCAACATGAACTTGCTTGTCAACTTGGAATCATCATGCTACAATACAAAATTTTCCAAACGTAAATATTATTGTGGACACGGACATATAAGAGGTTACGTAACTACGTTGGCAACGTTATCCAAAATGGGGAAAAAAGTATGTGGAGAGATAAGGTAGCATTGGAATTTGGAAATAAATGAAAAAAGCATCCACAGGATTGTTAAATAACAGCGGCAATTCATGGTGGGAAGTCAGAGTGAATGATTCATTCTCACCCTATCCCTATCCTTTCTGGATAAACATAAACATCCGATTATTAATGATCGAGCTGAGGTTGTAATTTACACATGTTATTACTATTGATGATATTCATTTTTCTAAAGGTTGAACTCTAACCCTAAAACATATACACAAAGATTAAATTTTTATTTACTGTGTGTAAGAAGTCTTTATCACTTTAAAAAGTTACTTTCACATTACTATAGATTTACAGTTGATAAAATTTTTTGAGCATTTTTTTTAAACTTTCACCTCTATGATTAGTTGAACTGTTCATGCGGACCTATCGATGATATTCATAACTATGTTTATTTGTATTTTGGTCGTCGCCCACATTTTGCGTACGCTGCGCTGCGGGCACATCGTAATCGTCGAAGACTGGGACTATAAATACCCGAGACAGAGTGACATGTACACTCCTCCTCTTCCTTCCATCTTACTAAACCATATTAATTTAAAAAAAAATGTTGGCTATATTTCACAAAGCTTTTGCTCACCCGCCAGAAGAGCTGAAGAGCCCAGCTTCTGAGTATAGAACCCAGAAACCCAAACTCCCTGAGACCACTCTCCAAGACTTCCTCTCCGCTCACCCTTCCGACGCTTGCTGTGTCAGCTTTGAAGATGCCGCCGTTCTTGCTTATGTTCATGTGCCACCCCACGCCTCTTCTTTCTTCCACCAAACCCCAAGGTACGTAATTAATTAAACGTATAGGCAATTGTCGCTTTGGCCGAGTGGTTAAGGCGTGTGCCTGCTAAGTACATGGGGATTCCCCGCGAGAGTTCGAATCTCTCAGGCGACGACTTGTACTAGGTTGCTAACAAAGTTGTTTTTGGATGTATATCAGGATGTTTTGTGGGTACGATGACATATACTGCCTGTTTTTGGGGAGCCTGAACAACCTGTGTTCCCAAATAAAGCAGTACGGGCTGTCGAAAACCAGCAACGAGGCCATGCTAGTTATTGAGGCCTACAGGACACTTCGCGACCGTGGTCCATATCCGGCTGATCAAGTTGTGAAGGATCTTGAAGGAAGTTTTGCGTTTGTCATTTATGACAGCAAGACAGGAACCGTGTTTGTCGCCCTGGTATGTCTGTCTGTCTGTTAGCCAATAAAGATGGGATTTTTCTTGTCTTTTATGTTGTGGGATTGAAGGATATGTGTGTGTGTGTGTATAGGGTTGTGACGGCGGGGTGAAGCTGTATTGGGGAATTGGCGCAGATGGATCGGTGGTGATTTGTGATGATATAGAGGTCATCAAAGCAGGCTGCGCCAAGTCATTTGCAGCCTTCCCTGCAGGGTGCATGTTCCACAGTGAAAAAGGGCTAATGAGCTTCGAGCATCCAATGAAGAAGATGAGAGCTATGCCGAGGGTTGATAGTGAAGGTGTAATATGCGGCGCTAACTTCAAAGTGGATCTGTATTCAAGGGTTAACAGCATCCCTCGAGTTGGAAGTGAAGCTAACTGGGCTGATCAATGGACCCAAACCACCTAGCTACCTAATATATGAATGTAGTCGTCCATCTGTAAATATAATGTTTCCATACAATATAATAATGCAAGCTAAGCTAAGCGTCTTCCAAATCCAGACTACAATATAATGTAATATATATAAAACTCGACAATTCAAGCTTAAGCTGCAAATGCAATGCATGCAGACACAGTATGATGATCAATAATTCAAAGCAAGAAAAAGGTGGTGATTTTGCTTTTGACTATTTGGGCTGTTCAAGTTTGAACCTTAGTCTTTTCTTCTGAATACTGTTCACTGAACCATTGAACTAAGCTAGTACGGATTTAAAAATCTTAAGAATGTAACAGAGCATCTGAGAGGAGGTAAATACTCGATCCCTGATCATTCTTTTTAACTTTCACCAATATAATCAGTTGAGTTGTCTATGCAGGCACTTCCGATTGACATAATTAGTATATATATGTATATATATATATAAGTTAAGAAAGGACATTCTACACACGTTCCACATATTATATTTGGTTCTATCGAGAACTGGAAACAGAAAGATGCTTCCTATGGTTTCTACAAGAGTCTTCACCGTCTTTTCTTATTCCTTCATTGGTTCTTACAGACGGCTAAGTATATCTTCACCCACAGTTCACCCCTGTCCCTACTATCATATATTCATTTCATTGATAAACAATATCCAACTCCAAATTACAGAGAGCATAGTAGCTAGCTAGACATGCAGGGATCGGAGATGGCAGAGGAACGTTACTACCCCAATGAAATGGCAGCTTTCATCCCTGAGACCACTACGGTCGTCCAAGAAATAGCGCCTCATGGGACTAAAGACTCGCTGGCAAAGCTTCTGTCTCTTCCTCACAACACTATCTCTAAGAGGCTTAAACAGGATGCTCTCACCCTCAAAGATGAAGTATGTATTTCATCATTCCATATAGAATTTATTATTATTTGTTCTATATATATAATGATTATGGGAATGGATGAATTGTGAATTGGAGGTTGTGAGGGAGACATGGGGAGCTAGAGGAAGACGGGTGACGGACTACACCCTCTACACCGGCGCTCTGGGTACTGCTTTCTTGCTCCTCAAGGCTTACCAAGTTACTGGCAATAACGATGACCTTTCTCTTTGCCTTCAAATCATCAAGGCTTGTGATACTGCTGCTTCTCATGCTTCTGGGTATGTACATACCCTATCTCTATCTCTATCTCCCTTGTGTGTCTCATATGTACATACAGGACATAAAAGCATATTACTGAACCACGTAAATCTTGTCTTATTTTGTTTTTTTGTTGTTGCAGACCAGTTACATTCCTATGTGGGCAGGCTGGTATATACGCTCTTGGTGCGGTTGCTGCCAAGCACTGTGGCGATGATGAGTTGCTTCATCATTATATAACAAAATTCAAGGAGGTAACGAGTAAATATAAAGGAATCATCTCGCAGTTTGATGAATTTTTAGAATTTCCTATGTGTCATTATACCACTTGCAGATTAAGCTTCCGGTAGATCTCCCGGATGAATTGTTGTATGGAAGAGCAGGGTATTTGTGGGCATGTTCTTTCTTGAACAAGAATCTTGGTAAAGGCACTGTGTCCTCTTCTCACATGGTAAGGCTAGCTTTCTGGTTCAATTATATATATTTCATTCTGAACAACTAATAAGTACATCCTTGGATGGGTGGAAATTTTGTTGAAGAGGGCAATAGCCAACGAGATTATCAAGTCCGGAAGAAAACTGTCGAAACTGGAAAACCTGAAATCGCCTTTGATGTATGAATGGCAAGGAAGGAGATACTGGGGAGCAGCCCACGGGCTTGCAGGAATCATGTATGCATTAATGGAGGTGGAACTCAAGCCTGATGAACAAGAAGACGTCAAGGCCACGCTGCGTTACATGATCAAGAACCGGTTTCCCAGTGGAAACTATCCTGCAGCTGAGGGTGACGACGAAGCTGATAATCTTGTTCACTGGTGCCATGGCGCCCCTGGCATTGCCTTAACCCTTACTAAAGCAGCAAAGGTAAGAAAACAAGATTAATTTACATGGTTTTCAGCATATATAATATAACTTTAATTTCCAGATTACAAGCAGCTATATATGGGTCCTTGTTCACAGATTTTTGAGAGTGAAGAGTTTGAGCAAGCAGCAATGGATGCAGGGGAGGTGGTGTGGAAGAGAGGGTTACTGAAGCGAGTTGGGATATGCCATGGAATCAGTGGAAATGCTTATGTGTTTCTTTCGCTCTACCGATTGACAGGGAAAGAGGAATACTTGTATAGGGCAAAGGCATTTGGTTGTTTCCTGCATGACAGAGCTCATACACTTATAACAGATGGGATTATGCAGCGCGGTGATCACCCTTTCTCGCTGTTTGAGGGCATTGGAGGCATGGCTTACCTCTTCCTAGACCTCGCCGACCCTTCCAAGGCTTTGTTTCCAGCTTATGAACTTTAAGCTGAGGTTTCTGTCAACATAATATATATAGTATTAACAAATTAGTTCCAAGGTGCCATGGCTTGCGTGCTGTATGTCTTGCTAAAAATCTTGGGTTCTGATTAGAGTGTATCAATAATGTATTATGAGTTTTAAAATCGTGAAATAAATGGCATGTATGTTGTGTTTGGAATGGATAATAGATTGCTTCCAGATAGATTTAATTAACTGGTTGGACCACGAATTAATAAATTTGGGTAGAAACGTAAAATAAATAATAAATAAATAATATAGAACTGAGTAGGAACGTAAAATAAATAATAAATAAATAATATAGAACGACCTCGTAAAGGTCGTGAGATCGTGTATTATATTAAATGCCGTGAAATTGACTATTATAAGGATTTAATAAGACAAAGTGTGTAGAATAATAAGTAGTTATTAGATGTCCTAACAAGGTGAGGTCGGGGTCTTTTTATGTAACAAACCCACCAACCGCTCCCCCTAAAAAGGGACGGTTAGATCACTCTTTGACTGGGGACCCGAGCGGATCGAGTCGGGTCGGGTCCCGAGCTTGAGTAGGGTCGTGCCACCCAATCCGAGCCCCACGTAGCTCAGCTCGAGTCGGGGTACCTCCATGGTGTTTTGGGCCGGGTGCTTTTGGACTCCAACGTGGTGCTTCGGCTCCATGTTACTACCCCGTGTCGGGTCATGGGTATAACATATTCGTCACTTCCTAATAGGTGCTTGAAAAACGTACGATCTAAATTAGAGGGAATCAAAGAATGATGTAGTGCAAAGGTTTTATGGTCAAGCAGTATAACTGCGACTTTTCACTCATAGTTATACTACTCGACCACCAGGTCTTCGATAATTATTAATTAAAAATATAAAATTTATCAAATTCTATTTATTAACTGAATTTTTATTGAATTGTGTGTACTCTACTCGTGTATATAAGAAGTTGAGCTTTGCATTAATTAAAAATATAATTAAATATAATAATATCACATTAGCCGAAACTTACTCTTAGATAGCATATAGGAAAGGCAATAGTTTGTAAAACTTTATATTATTTTAGTATTAAAGTTACCACGAGGATATTTTTGGAAAATGATGCTAAAGGGATTGCTTAGGTTATTTTTATCTCCGGAATACTCTATCATCTTCAAAAATGAATATTATCACCACATTATTAAATTTGTAATTCATTTACTATTTTATTTATATTGCTTCAATACTCTCTCACTTTCAAAAATAACTCCACTATGAGATCACAATATAGTAAAATAACAAAATAATAGAAGTAAATAAATAAAGTACAAAAAGAATGCCATGTGATAGTCTTTTATATACTTAGCAAGCTTGTTATACACCTAAACACACAAAATATTTTGAAAAAAAAAAAAAAAATCCACTTATTTATCTATGTCACTTTGTAAATTTCATTCTTTCGAGTTAGCCTTAGAGCAGTCTTTACATGGTGTGAATTTGGTGCTTTTAATAGTGTTAAGCATATCTTTTTGACATATTTTAAGAGCAATTAATTAAGTCGATGGTTTTTCTCAATTTTTTTAATCCAACCATTTCACATCAGCCTTCATTATTTTTCTTTTCTATCAAAAATTCTCACTTCTTTAATTTGTTTTTTCAATTTTTTGTAGGCTAGCTCACTCCACATGGATTATCTTTTATTTATTTATTATCGTTTCTAATTTCTAATTGTAATTTTAATTATTATAATTTATAATTTAATTAAAATCGTCAACTATTTAAAAAAATTACTATAAATTTAATTCCAATGTATAATTAAAATTTTAAATACATATATAAAGATCGTTGCCACAATGACAAAAAAAAAAAAAAAAAAAAAAAAAAAAAAAAAAAAATGATGGTCGCCAAGTAATTAGCAACCACTTTGAATGTTCTATTTGGCACGCCTAGTTGAAAAGTTAAAGTAGTCAGTAAGTTTTTTTTTTTTTTAATGTTAATGGCTCTATTACATTGTAGTATCTGTTCATAAAGTAGCCAGTAAGTTAATTAATTGAAATTAAAATGCTTGATAAAATTAATTATTGAATTATAAGTGTAAAAAAAAAAACATAAAAGGATAAATCAAAATATTCATATTTTGATTAATAAAGAGTAGATTGTGTTGGTCCCGGTAGGGTCGAAAGAGAGTCTAGAGGGGTGGGGGGGGGGAGGGGGGGGGGCTTGAATAAACTCAACTCGAATTTTAAAAACAGTTCCTTTCGGAATTTGTACACAGCGAAAAATATGAGTTTTGGTAGGGAATATCCCGACCGACATAGCTTTACCCCGGCCGGTGTGCCTTTGTCTTTGTCTTCTTGTCTTTGCAGGTAACAGGTCGGGTTTCTTGTGAAGAACTCGGTCGGGATCCGACCGGGAGTTGCCCGAGCGGCAGTGTCGACCACCGAGCGGTAGCCCTTTGGCGAGAGAGCTGACGAGGGACACGTGGCGGCTCCACGCGTTGACAGGCAGGGCACCCGGGACAACGACACGTGGTTGCTACGTGGGAGGCATGCCGAACGGCCGGATTTGTGTCTCCGGCTCCGCGGCTATAAATACCCGCGATAGCTACAGTGTGTAGGACTTTTGGACGATCGATAGGTTGTTGTTAGAGAATCTCGACCGCAGTCAGTCGATGCTCAGAGCAACCAAGTACATTGTACTTAGGGCCTTCACAGTGATCAATAAGAGTTATTTACTTGCTTTAATTGGTCTCGTATTTACTTAATTACCGCTTACGTGGCAATTAACATTATCAAGTTTGTTTTAATTTAAAGTTTGCACAAGTTGAATATGGAAATCTTAGGGTTTGTTCAATATGAATGCAATGCCAGATAGATAGTTAAACGAAAGTAATGAGAGAGTGAGTGAGAGATTTTTATAGTGGTTCGACTATTAACAAAGCCTACTCCACTCTTCTTTCACAACTCGTGAAAGGTTTGCACTATCACTCCTAGTACAAACTAAACAAGCTAGCTTCCTTGATCACTAAGTCGGACAGCCACTTGTGTAGATTTTTCAACTCCTCGAGTTTATATTAATCCGCCTCTATCAACTTCTTCTTCAGAGTTGAGGGTTGGAAAGGAATAATGAAATCCTCCAACTGTTTGAAGTCTTGACTTGTTGATGTATGATTCCTTTTGTAAAAGATGCAAGACTTCTTCAAGCTGTGAAGTATAAAATCTGGATGAGTTGTCTCTTTGAAAAACTTCACAATCACACACTGGTTGATGAAAGCTTTTGGATAGCACTTGTTTGAAGAGCTTTTCTTTAAGATTGAATCAGTTGAAAATCAGCACCTTCTTCAGTGAAGAAGAGAGGTATTAATAGGAGAAGAAAATCTACCTATTGGAGGGAGATGGTGATTCAAACCTATTAATCAGTGTGTGATAACCATTGGGCATGAAGCATTTGATTCAGCTGTACTGTGTAGCCGTTGGTGGCAAAAGTTGCTTGTCCTTTTGTCCTTTTTCACTGACAATGGTACAAATCATTTAATGCTTCTTGATTTTTGTGAATATCATTTCTAGGACTCCTTTTGTCTAGGATGATTGCCTAGCTGTGAGGCATAGACAAACATTCTTCTTGTTCTTATGTAGAAATTGTCTATTTAAGTCTGACTTAGACTTTTTGTCTCGGGAACGAACAGTTATCCTTTTCTTTCGTCTTCCTTTTAGTCAAATGATCTTTCTTACCATTTGACGTTTACACGAGAGTTAGACTCATCCATGTTTCGGTCTAAGTTGTTCTCTCGGCCTTCTCTTAATCTTATCTTCTTTAGGTAGACCTAATTTACTAAACTCAACTCAGATTCGTGTAAATGTGTTTCTTAACCGAATCACAAGGTGAGTTGAGACTGCTTTCGTCTAACACGAAAGAACGAAAGTAAAAGAGGGGTCTACCTTTCTAGTTTGGTATCATCGAAATTTAAATACATCTGTTCCTAACAGATTGTGTCATTTTTGTAAATTAATAAAGATAAAATGAAAAAATAAAATAAAAAATAAGGAGTTTATTTTGAAAAACTACTTGAAGTAAAGTTAAATAACGTTTCAAAAATAAACTATTATTTTAAGCTCCTCATATTTTAACAAACAGAACTTATAGTTTATTTGTAGTTTAAAATAAGTTATAAATTCAATCTTTGTGTATCTCCCAAGAGCATTTTTTTTCTTTTTTCTTTTTTTTTTTTTTAAAAAAAAAAATTCCCTTCGAAAAATCAATTGTCGCAATACAAGTAGGTTTTTGGGATTTTGCCAAATCATGCCTTCTTGATGGTGAAAAACTCCGATGAAAGTTTTTGAGTTAGCAAAGAAACCTCCAAAAACTTTCATTTGAGGTGCTTTAAGAACTCATTCATCTGCCAAAGACCTTGTGATCAAGCGGCATAACTGTGGCCCTCAAATGAGAGGTCTCACACTCTCAAGTTTGAACCCCAATGTGAGGGTATTGATTCTTTCTCTTTGTGCTTCAGTAAGATAGAAAATATCTATAAACAAATAATACATTGTATTGTAATAGAGCCAATAGCATTCACAACAACAACAACAACAACAACAACAACAACAACAACAACAACAACAACAACAACAACAACAACAACAACAACAACTCATTCATCCCTTCACTTAAAATAAGGTTAATTTATGAGATTTAATATTCATTTTCAAAGTTATTCAACATTGTAAGTCATGATGTTTCCATACTAATAGATAAGTTTTCCCTTTTTAATCTCTTTCCAATATTGCTTTTATATATGGATTTTGTTTTTCATCCAATTTATCCTTTTACTTAATTATTTTTTTATGGTGGAATAGATTTAATTTTGTAAAGACAGTCATGTGTTGACTTCATTAGGGTCGTGAATCGTGATGTACATTAGATAAATTGGTTGATCAACGCATGCATGCTGCAAACCTTAGTGTCAATTATTGTATGGTTTTGGCGCGCAGCATATATATATAGTCCCAGGACCACGTTAAGCGCAATAATGCATGCAAACCCTAGAATTGAGCTGTAAAAGATGGCAGTGGGCAATTCAAAGAAGGAGACAGCTAGCTGCATTATATTGCAAATTAAAGCACGCAGCATATCAAGGAAGACAGTACAGTACAATTCAAGGCTGCAGGCAGAGAGCGGCGTGCAGTGCAGTGGTCCAAATGCATTACTTACGTACTGATTTTGCAGCCCTCTCAGATCAGGTCAGCCTTTAATTTTACAATGATAACGCCCCGCTTTCAAGTTGAATCTCACCAATTTAGCTTTTAATTCTTCTATTTGAGGGAATCAATTGAGGATAAATGAATGAATAATTTGGTTGTCTTATCACATTGTTTAGTTGGTTCTCAAACCGGGTATTCCGTAGTTCTTTTAGGCTTAATGAGTTTTAATTGTTTAGATAAGTATCTTAGTACATTAATGGTTAAAGCATTTGATTTACTCTGGATGCCATATGAAATTATCATATTAAAGAAAAGAATTAATCATTAATTGATTGACAAAATTAGATTGATCTGCAAAACACGTAATGGTAATTGATTCATGTTCATAGTCCTTTTTTTTTTTTATTAAGGAGTATTTTATTTTCCTAAGTTTTCTTCATTTGGTTTAATTTACTCAATAATTGCAACTTTATTTGATTTCTTTCTTTCCACTCTTTTAACTTATTAAATTGCACCGTTGCAATTCCCAGTGGGTTCGATCCTTGCTTTTTCACATTATTACATTGATTTGTACACTTAAATTGTCCAAAGGTAATGTTAAAAATAAGTGCAGCAGACTAGCAGGTTTACTTGAGAGTGATGAACTTTACTTTTTTTTTTTTTTTTTTCAATGAATTAAGAATGAGAAAGATGTGACATCATATAAATTTGAATGGTAAAAATAAGTGAAGTACAGAGTATGTTTAAAAAGAATAGAGTTAAATCCCCAGTCCCCAGTAAACTCTAAATCTGGGCACACAACATTTATTATTATAGTATTATACTGGAAATGTGGGTAAGTGTAAGTTCCGACAAAAGAAAAGAATGGACTTCCGTACAACGGATGTGAAAAAGCAGTGTTGTGGATAAAATAATTTTTACAATACAACTTGCTATCTCATCAAACATATGCCAATTGCCTGCCTTGCATGCATGTCCTTTCATTTTTTGCTTACTCTTTTCCCTTTTTTTTTTTTTTTTTTTTTAAATCGCCCAGTCAATGTTCATGTTTCTATCTCTTACTTGCTTCTATTTTGAAGTATTTGTATACTTTAGTGAAGTGTTGACATTTTGTAAAATTCATTATAAAAAAAATAGATGTAATTCTGTAAAGATTTATTCACTTGATATTTTGATGATTGATTGATTGATATATTATGTAAATTAAAGAGTTTGCATAATGATAGAGTAGGCAAGGAAGGAGCTTATACAGACAGGGCCAACCTGCTGCTTAACAAATTGTAAAGAATTTTGTATAATTCAATAAACTTTCACCATCCTCAACTCTACAATTGCCTATTACAGGCAAAAAAATTTTAAAAACAAAAAAAAAAAAAAAAACAAAAAAAAAATATGGGTATCCAAACAGGGTTTTACTTCTTTCTACCCTGAATTCCTTTTTTTTTTCTTTCTTTTTCACCTGATCCAACCGGCAAAAGAAGAAGAAAAATTGATAGTATTACAAATCAATATTGAATCTCATCAATATCTGTACAAATGTTGTGTACTTTTTGTGGTAATTGGACCTTCCTTCTTCACTTCCAGTTCCCACTATATCCGGATTGGCAATCCAAAGTTTTGGAAAGTCCTGATTTGCCCCCGTAAACCTGCAGTCACAATTACCATGCCCCATGCAGGCTTGCTTTGATTTAACCCACTACTTGCATCTGCGTTAACATTCTTAGTAGTAGCTGAAACTAGTTTTTCCTCGGGCCATGTTGCTGACATTCTATCAAAGAAGTAGCTGTTCATGGCGCTAGATATAGTTCCGTTTAGTGGGCTACTAGATGACCGCTCATTATCATTTGATTCCTCAACAGGTGTAGGAGGATGATTTGCAGCAAGCGCCTCGTCCAAACAATCACCTGGGCTACTGTGTCCTGTGGAAGAGTTCGTACGAGGAAGTTTCCATGTATCCGACATTCCAGGCCAAGGAATGGCAACTGAAACATCTTGGCAATAGAAATGCTCGTAAGATTGTGTAACAGTAACCCCTTTATTTCTGCTTGGTCGGGAATCACCTTCATGGTTCCAGACATACACATATGAATCCTCACTGGCACATACTGCATACCTTCCATCAGCTGAGAGAGAAGCTGAAATTTGTCTGTTTGTGTTGCGAAATCCTGTTACAGTATTAGTGAAAGATTTAGTAAAATGGTTTTGTGCCCAAATTAGTCCTATGTGTCACCAGTCATTTGAAGCATGTTGTCACCAGCTTGACAAAGCGAAAAAATTTTCAGTAAGCATTAAGCAGTGTAATGTACCTTTGAACTTGTGAACAAGATCAACACCATCAATGACTCGAATTCGAGAATCTGAAGATGTCACTAGCACTTCTGATGTACTTCCAGGGACAAACTGTTTGTCAAGAAGCATCGATTTGTTAAGGACCACACCCAAGCAAGATGAAAGCCAATTACATTTGAGAAAAGAAAGTTGTTTTCCCACTCCCTGCCCACCTCTCTCTGGTAAAGTACACTCTTTGCAGAGTTAGTCAATTTTTAAGAGTCAATGTAGAACTTATAGTGGTAAAGAGGCAATTCCTAAGAATACTCTGCAAAATCATTCTCTTAAGTAAGAACTGCCTGTAATTCCCATTGGATATATATTCCACATCAAACCAATTATTGGAACACAAGATAGAGACAGCAGAAAATTGGAACACAAAATCAAGAAGCCTTATGCCGCATGTAATCTGATGATCACCTGGAAACCCGTGATTTTCTTTTGATGGGATTTCTTCTTCTTATTCTGCAGATTGATATAACCTTTTTGCTGCAATTTATTTTCTGAAAATACAAAATGAACAAAAAAAAGAAAAATCAACAATATTGGCCATTGATATTTATCACACAGGGAGAAAAAGAGAAGGGGACTGTTAACTGATACCTGATGTGTTGTACAAACGGCAACTCCCTTTATATGATCCCACCAATGCACTCTTAAATCAAAAAAAAAAAAATAATAATCACTTCCAAGCAAAAGAAATGCATAATTGCAAAAATGTCACATGTTTATCTTCGCAGGCTAGGATGACAATTAAATAGTAGTGTTCTAAAACTGAAGCCTCACCTGACCATCTGGAGTGTAGCATGCAGCAGTAACCATCTCATGTAGATCATTCCAATCAACAACTTGCCGGTCAGGAATGCTCCAAATGCGAACCTTAGCATCCAGGGATCCACTTATGAAGTATCTATCATCTACAGGATTAAACTGGATGCAGGTTACTGCATCAAGTCAAATCCAGAAAATCAGTCAATTGGTAAACAAGTGCATTTTTCTATTATTTATAGCAATCTACTGGTAAGCTTTCATATCACAGATGAAAAATTTGCTGCATTGAAATATGTCCAAAAAAATACTCCTATCAAATATAGGACTTCATGTTCTTATAGTTACCATAATCACTGTGTGAGAAGACCTTTAAACAAGAATTGCTAGACAAGTCCCAGAGTCGCACTGTTTTATCCATTGAAGAAGAGAGCAATTGCTGGAAAAGAAAGTGAGGATTTAAAGCACACAGCTAAAAACATAACTAGAAAACTCAAGGCTAAAATAAATGAACAAAGAAGGTTAGCCAACCTGAGATTTGGACCAGGAGAGGTCAAGAACAGCATTTTCATGTCCCTGAAAGGAACAGATGGGCTTCTCAGAAAGGGAAAATACAGTCTCTGGCACCAAAACGTGATCAAAGCTCACTGATTTACGACTTATGGATGACCTTCCTCTCCTCTTCTTCTCTGTGGGACCATCCAAATTGGGAGAAATAGAATTCGGTTCTGGGGACCCGTTAGTCAATAAAAGAAGATTCATATTTGGATCATCTGGTTTATTTAGCAACAAATCACCCTTTCTCTCTGACTCTGTAACCTGCCAAACATGTATGAAACAGTCGTCACCAGCACTTGCAAGATACTTCCCGTCCAAACTGAATTTGATAGTCCAAATAGATCCATTATGTGCATTAATCTCTTGGCTTTTGAAGAGTGCAGTAAGCTCTTTACATGACTTCCCATACTGTCGAACTCTAACTCTCTCCGGTCCATGAAAAGAAACGTCCTGGCTATCATCTGTGGCAGAACTTGACCTTCTTCCACCCTTCTCCGACGATGTATCCTTTTCATCACTGCTCCGACGCTCCTTGTGACCAGTAACAGAGTTAGCCACATTCCTGATGCTTCTCAACCAGCTTCCCGTCTTCTTGAATTTAGATCCATTCACACCAACCCCATTTGCATTGGAATCCAAACCATCCTTACCACCATCCTCTACATTCTGTCTTCTCATCAATTCTTGAACAATGGGTGAAGTCCCAACACACATCTCAAATTCTTCCATTGTCAATTGCCGCCCTGTCCCTACTTCCTTAAGTTTGTTCCACATCCCATCTTCCCTCACTTCATTCACCACAAACTCCTTCCCATTATCAAGATCCTTTATGGTACACACAGGCACCTCAACTTTAACCACTCCATTAGAATCAAGAAGCTCCTCTGCCTCCTCATTATGTGTGGAATCATTTCTACACCTACCTGTGGGTGGCTTCTTTGGCGAAACAGCAATGGTCATTGGTGATCCGCTACCACTTAGGAACTTATCAACATTACTGATGCTTCGACTATGATTTCGACTATTATTTACAACTATAGGGCGACCACCATTGGCAACAGAATCAATTGAAAGAATTTCGGTATTTTTATGAATTGGTGACGACGATGAACAAGAAACATAATTGGAAGAATTACGATTACGATTACGATTACCCTCAGACTTCGATCGGGCAAACCCAGATACACTAGTAATTTTATTGCTATTTCTGAAATCATTATTATTAGTATGAATATTAGGAAAACCCTCACCGCCGTCAATTGGGCTGCTCAACTGATCCGACGAGACCGATCTGGCAAAAAACTCCCCTCCGTCGCCGGAACTGCTGCACTCGGCGGCCGAGAGCGACGGCCTGTGGCGGAGAATAGAAGGGTCACGGCTGAGACCCATTTTCTGGAGAAGGCTGAGGCGGCGTTCTTCGATAGAGGAGGGCTGGGAGATCCAGACGTCATAGTTGCCAGAAACACCCATGGGGAAGCAAGGCACAGAAGGCGGTTGGGGGCAAGCATAATTGGGGGGAGAACCCAAAATACGTTCTTCTTCCTCCTCCTCCTCCTCGTCGGACGGCAATGCCGAGGAGGAGCAGGAAGTATTGGCGGAAGAGATGAGGCGGTCAAAGGAATCGTGAAAACACTCGTCTTCCTCTTCCTCGTCGCCGGCCTTTTTCATCTTCGCAATCGTTCTTCCCCTCCTCGGAGCCGAGGCATTTCCATGAAAATGCCCGGTTGAGCACCGGCACCGATCCGAGCACCGCCGGATCCTACTCCCGCTGCAGTCCCACTGCCGCCGTTCTTTATATATAATATATATAGCGTACGTGGGGTGTATTGACTGGTGTCAATGGTGTGGGAAAACGGGAAAAGATCGGACAATATGGAAGAGGGGTTTTAAGCGTTGGGAAATCAGATCCGATAGAGAGAGAGAGAAAGAAAGAGAGTTTTGCGAAGCCCTATGCGTGAAATGAGAAGAGAGAGACGAAGAAAGGAGTGTTTTGTGGCCTTGTGGGTTGCAGGGTGTCCATGTTTTCAGTTTCCATTGGATTTAGATGAATGTGCTCTCAGCAACCTTTTTTGTTTTATATTTATCAAATCAAATTATTACTTAGCCTAATTTCCTTTTTTTTTTTTTTAACACTACTAAATCTTCAAATTAAAACTTCACCAAACAATTATTGAAACTCTTACAATAATATTTTCGGACATGATAAGTTTTTGTCCTAAATGTTCTCGCTTCGTAAATTTTGTATCAAACTCTACATAATTATATTGAAAGAAGTCGGTGAAAAGCCAATAAGATAGACAAAGTAGGAGGAAGAAATATTCAAAATTCAACCGTTTAGTTGATTTAGAGTCGTGTTACAAGCCTAACTAATAAATATATTAAGTAATATTAATTATTTTCAATTACGTATAGGACTGTTTTAAAACTGTATTACGTTGCGCACTGTATTATAGATATTTATAAAACATGTGTCTTTTCAATACCGTATCGCATATGCAAGTGCGTATTTAGGCAAAGTGTAATTCACCACAAGATTCCAACTCAAGAGACACACTTGATGGTCAAGGATATTGCAAGAATAATTGTAGCAATTCATCAACTCCAATTGCATCCTTAATGGTGCAATCCATTTCAATAAAATCAAGTTAAAAAGACTTTAAATTCTTCTCAAATTTAAGAAATGAGGTTGATAGGATTTGAACTCAGGTCAACTATAATTTATATTACTATAATTAAGTTAAATTTTAAACCAACCAACACCATGTCCCCATGCGATATAACTATAAGACATCATAAAAATAGCATAAATACTTGTATGATGCGAAAGAAACATAGTGAAACTTGTGTGTACGTATAGTATGTGATTGATCAATCAATAAATAAATGGCATTCAAAATTAAAAGGCATCTAAGTTTCATTAAGACATTTAAATTCATAGTACAGATAAGTCATAAAACACGTTAAATAATGAAAAATGACACTGAAAATTAATTATTACAAAATACTTCTTTTTCTAAATATTGTCTATTAAAACACGTTAAATAATAAAAAATGACACTAAAAATTGATTATTACAAAATACTTCTTTTTTCTAAATACTGTCTATTAAACTAGTGAGTTAAGTCTATGCAAACAAAAAATTGATTACTTTTTCTTTTCATTTTTACCAAGACAATGCCATCACTACACATTTTAACTATCTCCCTCTTTTTAAAAGCTTGACAATAAAAGAAAATGTTGGATTTGTATTGTCACACGCATGTTTCTTTGGTATAATTTAAATTAAAAAAATGTGAAAATTGTTTCTTGGTTCAATTGTACAGAAATTGTAAAAATACTAATTGTTTATGATTTTTTTTTGGAATACTCAACCCAACGAATCAATACTTTTACCATCGAGTTCAATGGACCACTCATCTATATCTATATCTATATATATATAAAAGTAAAATTCTCCTAACAAATTTTCCCCCCAAAACTTTTGTAGTAAAACTTATTTGGTAAGTAAATGTCAAATGGAAATTAAATAAATAAATAAATAAATAATAGGAAAAATGGCACTTTTTCCCCCTAAGTTATATACTTATAGCACTTTTTCCCCTTGAATTATTCATGTGAGCACATTAGCCCCCTCAATTATTTTAAAAGTGGCGGTTTTTCCCCCTAATATATTTTATTGACATTTCTACCCTTAAAGTAAACATTTTATTTATTTTTCCTTTTTAATAAATTATTGCGTATACATAGGGATGACCACGGTTCGATTCGAATTGAACCAGACACTATAGCAATCGAATTAAAAGTTTCCGGTTATGATTCAGATCCAGAACCCAATATTTTAATTTCAATTCATTAAAATTATGAATCGAAAAAACTGGATCCTGAACCGTGATCCGACGCGCGGTTCTAGATCCGGTTAGCGATTTTGAACCGTCTTTATTTTTAAAATTTTAATTTTTTATTTTAAAATAGTCTAAATTCAACAATAAATGTATTTTATTTTTTTCAGTTTGGACCATGAACCGGCCGTCCTGGTTCACGATTTTAATAAAATCTAAATATCGGGTTTCGATTCTAAATTATAATTAGAATATTTCAGTTTGATTTATATAGTGTCTGTTTGGTTTGAACCAACTTGTGGTCATAATTTGTTAGAGAAAAAAATAAATGAAATATTTATTTTAAGGGTAAATATGTCCATTTAACATTTTAGGGGGAAAAACAGCCACTTGAATAATTCAGGGGGAAAAAGTGCTATATGTATATAACTAAGGGGGAAAAAGTGCCATTTTCCCTAAATAATAATAATAATAATAATGTTATTACCTTAAATAAATAAATTATTATACTTTCCCTTAAATAAATAAATTATTATACTTTCCCTTAAATAAATAAATTATTATACTTTCCTTTTGAATTAGTATTTTCTACTTATAAATACAAGAGCTTCTTCAATCAAAGAATCTCAGACTCATCTTTCTGCTTTCTTTTTGTATGAATTTTCTACATTTTTCTAACTATATTCTCACGTACTTCAATATGTTTTGCAGTTTGGACATCATGAATAGCTTCATCAACGATATCTTCTTGAAGCTCGCCCAAGAGGTGACTCGCTTGGCCCACTACAACAAGAAGCCGATAATCACTTCCCGCGAGATCCAGGTCGGCATGAGATTGGTTCTTCCTGGCGAATTGGTAAAGCACATTGTCTCTCTAAAAACACTAAAGCAATCACCATATTTACAAGCTCTTAGATGAAATCATTTAAATCTATGTTTCGTTTTTATATAATCTCAATTAGGGATTAATAGATGTAAAGTAACTTGGATTTGAGTTTAATTTCATATTATTCTTCCAAAAGGTTTAATTTCATATTATAAGTATTGTTATCTACCTTCAACTATCAGTGAATCGATTAGCATTCTCAAAAAAATAAATAAATAAATAAATAAATTGAATGTCTATATCTACGTGCATTTAAGATGCAACATGTGTATGATTCATTAGGCTTTGAGGCAGGAGAACACATCTGGGTACATTGGTGGATCTGTATCTCATTGCAAAAAAAATCTATACAATTAATTAATTAATATAATTACAATTATCATTATTCTAATTCAAAAAAAAACTAAAGAATTAATTGTAATAATGAAATTTGTTATTAATATTTTGTTACTAATTGACGAAGAAATCAGACTAAAAGAAAAACGAAATTAATATTAAAAATGGACTCGAATTAAAAAATGTGCTTAATAAGTAAATAACTAATTTGCTAGACAGAAAATTAGGGTAAAGAAAAAAGAAAATGATTATTAAACATTGTACCAGATTGTTTTTATGATTGAAAATTAATATTACAAACGTACCAGATTGTTTTTATGACCAGAAATAATAATGAATTTTACACACGAGAATCTATTATTAATATTCTGTTATACTAAGGCATGGGAATCATGCCAAATGAAAAAAGGATTTAATATTAAAAATTTATTGAAAATATAACACAGTTTTTCCTACGAAAAAATTAGTAACCACCAAATGAAATATTAGGAAAAAATTATGAAGAAAAAAGAAATGGAAATAAATATTAACTCTTTCTATGAATGAAAAAGGAAATGAATATATCCATATTTCACTTAAAATATAATCAGTAATTATATTATTATAATTATATTAATTATTTATGAAGGAAAAAGGAAATGAATATGAACAGAAAAAAATGAATTTTACACACGGGAAAGGAAATGAATATTTCACAAAGAAATATGTTATTAATATCATGTTACTAATCGACATGGAAATCAGGCCAATTAATCGACAATTATTAGAAAAATGAATAAAAATCAATATTTATTCTTTTTATGAAGGAAAAAAAAAAGAAATATATATATTCAAAAGGAAATGAAATATGAAGAAAAACGAATGAATATGTTTATATTTCACTAAAAATATAACACAACTTTTGGCACAGAAATCAGACCAAAAGAAAAAAGAAATTAATATTAAAAATGGACTCAAATTAAAAAATATATATATGTGCTTAATAAGTAAATAACTAATTTGCTACACAGAAAATTAGGGTAAAGGAAAAAGGAAATGATTATTAAACACGTACCAAATTGTTTTTGTGATTGAAAATGAATATTACAAACGTACCAGATTGTTTTTATGACCAGAAATAGGAATGAATTTTACACACGAAAATCTATTATTAATATTATGTTACTAATAGGCATGGGAATCATGCCAAATGAAAAAAGGATTTAATATTAAAATTTATTGGAAATATAACACAATTTTCCCTACAAAAAAAATTAGTAACCACCAAATGAAATATTAGGAAAAAATTATGAAGGAAAAAGAAATGGAAACAAATATTAACTCTTTCTATGAATGAAAAGGGAAATGAATATATCCATATTTCACTTAAAATATAATCAGTAATTATATTATTATAATTATATTAATTATTTATGAAGGAAAAAGGAAATGAATATGAACAGAAAAAATTGAATTTTACACACGAGAATCTATTATTAATATTTTGTTACTAATAGACACAGGAATCAGGCCAAATGAAAAAAAGATTTAATATTAAAAATTTATTGAAAATATAACACCGCTTTCCTTACGAAAAAATTAGTAACCACCACATGAAATATTAGGAAAAAATTATGAAGGAAAAAGAAATGGAAATGAATATTAACTCTTTCTATGAGTGAAAAAGGAAATGAATATTACTCATAATGAATAAATATATGAATTATTATACATAGTAGCATGGAATTAATTAGTAGGACAATTATATTAGGTAATCTAATTAATAATTTACTTTTTAAATTATATTCCCTTTTTAATTATGAATATTTTCTTAAAGTATATACACAGATTATGCTTATTAATATAGAATTAAAAGTGTATAGATGTATAATATTATTAGTACAAAATCAATTATACTTGCCTTAATAATTAAGTATTAATATTATTGCTTAATAATTATGTGTTGTCACCTTTTTCGGGGTAATTATTATGGTAATTTATATA